AGACTAGCATAGTCGCTGTAGGTGCCTCTCGTGGCGACCCTTGTACCCCGTTCTTTGAGGGGTGTTCTCCTTCCCCCCTTCTTCCCTCTGTCGCCTCTGCTGCTGCTGTCGACCTTCTCGGTGCTGAGAAGGTCGGCGCTGCGTCTGCCTCGAGTGGGCGCCGCAGCGGCAAGGGCAAAGGGGGCAAGGGTGGTGGCAGTGACGGCGGGGGAGGCGGCGGTGGGGGCGCTGGAGGCAGTGGGGGTGGTGGCTCGGCTGGAGGGGCGAGTGGTAGCGGTGGGGGTGGTGGCGGCAGCGGCGGGGGAGGCGGCACGAGTGGAGGCGGCGGTTGGGGTGGCGGTGGACGAGGCGGCGGCCGGGGTTGGGGTGGTCGAGGAGGTGGCAGCGGTGGTGGTGGCCGTGGAGGCGCTGGCGGTGGCCAGGGCCAGCAGCACACTCCTTCGCCCCAGGAGGTCCGTGAGTGGTACTCTCAGCACGGGGGTGGGGGTGGTCTTAGCTGCACGTACGTCATTCGCATTGGTGACCGCACTGGTCAGCAGTGTGGATGACAGCACGCCACACAGCGCTGCTTCTCTTGTCTCGACGACGTTTGGCGTGTTCAGTTCCCTCAGGCCACTGAGCTGCCCCGCTGGGTTGATCTCCTGAAGAAGGGGATTGACATCTATGCTCTAGACTTTCATGCTATTCTATCTGCCATGTATGTGATGTCTACTAGTGGAGAGGGTGCTGAGTACTTTTGTGTGCCGCCCGACCCGGGCATTAGGGCCAGTGCGTCTGCCGCTCCAGGTACTCGCGTGTCAGCTACCCCAGGTGCTGGTGAGGCTGGTGCTCTAGGTGCTAGCGTGTCTCCCCCCCTTGGTACTGCGTCGACTGCAGCACTGCACACCTTCACACTGGACTCAGGTGCTTCTCGCTGCTTCTTTCGTGACCGCACTGCCCTTGAGCCGCTTGCTCGGCCAGTTGTTGTCTCCCTTGCTGACCCCTCTGGGGGTCCGGTCATTGCGACCTCTTCCACTGTCCTTCCCTGTCATGCGGTCCCATCTGGCACACTGTCAGGTCTCCACCTCCCCTCGTTCTCTACGAACTTGGTGGAAGGATGTGCGCTCCAGGACGGGGGTGTTCACCAGTTCACCCCTGCCTACGAGCGCGTGACACACTGCACGTGTGCTCGTACGGGCCGCCACTTGGCTACCTTCACTTGGCAGCCGGGGTCGGACCTGTACACACTGACTACTGAGTCCCCTCAGGTTGCTGCGTCTGCGTCCGCGTCCGCGTCAGGTCAGCTGTCTGCCCCCTGCTCGTGTCGCTCTCTGGCACACGAGACTGTCCTCTGGCACCACCGCCTTGGCCACCCGTCTGTGCAGCGGCTTCGTGCCATGCACTCCCGGTACCTTGTCTCTGGCCTGCCCAGGGTCCTTCCTGCCCTACCTCCCTCGCCTGCTCCTACCTGTCTCCCCTGTGTCGAGGGACGGCAGCGCGCCGCTCCTCACTCCTCCTCATTCCCCTACCGCACTGCCCCGCTTCCCCCCCCCCCCGCCTCTCTTTCTCGCGCCAGGTGCTGCTGTTGCAGACCCCCTCCCCCCTCAGGGTGCCGCTCCCTCGGGTGTGTCTCAGGTAGATCCGGTTGAGCCTGTTGAGGTAGCTGTCGACTCTCGTCCTGCTGGAGGTGCTGAGCCAGGGGGTGCTGAGCCTGGGGGTGTGGAGCCTGGGGGTGTGGAGCCTGGGGGTGTGGAGCCTGGGGGTGTGGAGCCTCGTGGTGCTGAGCCGCAGAGTCCGGAGTCTGGGGGTTCTGGGTCTGGAGGTACTGGGCCTGGGAGTCCTACACCAGGAGGAGCCCTCTCCTCGGAGCAGCTGCGTACGTGGTACTTAGAGTACTGCAGCCTCCGGAGAGGTTCCACTCGTGTCGGACGTACTGCTGGGACTGGTGCTAGTGCTTCTTCTCCCGTTAGGGAGCTCCCCTCCCGCGAGCGGATCCGTGAGTGGTACGAGCGGAGCTGCACTCTTCGTAGTGGCGTGCCTCGTGTTGCGGACCCCACTGCCGTTGGAGCTGCTGCTGGTGCTGAGGACCCGGGCGTTGGAGCTGCCGCTGGTGCTGCAGACCCGGGCGTTGGAGCTGCTGCTGGTGCTGATGACCCGGGCGCTGGAGCTGCCGCTGGTGCTGCGGACCCGGGCGTTGGAGCTGCTGCTGGTGCTGAGGACCCGGGTGTTGGAGCTGCCGCAAATGCTGCGGACCCGGGCGTTGGAGCTGTTGCTGGTGCTGAGGACCCGGGCGTTGGAGCTGCCGCTGGTGCTGCAGACCCGGGCGTTGGAGCTGCTGCTGGTGCTGAGGACCCGGGCGTTGGAGCTGCTGCTGGTACTGCGGACCCGGGCGTTGGAGCTGCAGCTCGTGCTGAGGACCCGGGTGGTGGAGCTGCCGCTGCTGCTGCGGACCCTGGGGCGAGTGTCCCTGCTGACTCTGGTGTCGCTGCTCGGTCCCAGCCGTACTTCGTTCCGCTCCTGCAGTAGGTTCTTGGTCAGCTCCCTCCTCCTTGTCCTCCTCTCTCCTTAGCGTGTCCTCCGTCTGTCCAGCTGCAGTCGCAGCTACCATATGCCTCCTCTCTCCCTGGTCCTGCTCCTTACACTAGTCCGACTGGAGGTCTTACTGAGCGTCGTGAGCCTGAGTCTCGCCCTGCGTCACCTGTCCGCACTGCTCTCTAGCAGTCGTGTCCAGCGTCAGAGTCTTCCTGTTGTCCCAGGCACTCACCGGATGGCGCTTCGTCCGTCCACTGCTCCACAGCGTGTCCCACTGCCGTCTCCTCCTGCTTCTTCTCTTCCTGCTCTTCCTGACCCTGGGTCAGACTCTCTTCGTGCTGCCAGTCCTACTGTCACGCGTCTCCTGGCTACTGTTGTCACTGACCCTTCCTTTGAGTCTGCTGTTGCGTCCGCCTTAGTTGCTGAGCTTGTCGACTTTGCTGCTCGCTGTCGTCAAGACTACGCTGCTAGCCTAGTTGCTGAGTCTGAGTCTGTCTGTCCTCCGTCCGTCGGGGGTGAGTGTGCTCTTGGCACTGACGTCCTTGAGGACAGGCAGGAGGAGTTTGAGTGCTTTGCTGTCGCTTTGCCCCATCTCCTGTCCATTCCATGCTTGTTGCCCCTGACGGAGACCCGGATGCACCAGACATCCCGACCCCACGCTCTTACGCAGAGGCGATGGCCGGTCCCTACTCCTCTCAGTGGCAGTCAGCCATGGACACAGAGATGGCTTCTTGGAAGTCCACAGGCACCTACGTCGACGAGGTTCCCCCGCCTGGGGCGAATATCATCAGTGGCATGTGGATTTTCAGAGTGAAGCGGCCGCCGGGCTCTCCGCCTGTTTTCAAGGCGCGTTACGTTGCACGAGGCTTCAGTCAGCGAGAGGGAGTTGACTTCTTCCAGACCTTCTCCCTGACCCCGAAGATGACCACTCTTCGGGTTCTGCTGCACCTCGCCGCTCAGCGTGACTACGAGCTCCACTCGCTTGTCTTCAGCACTGCTTTCCTGCAGGGCAGCCTGCACGAGGAGATCTGGCTGCGCCGTCCACCTGGCTTCACTGGGTCGTTCCCTCTTGGTACCCACTGGAGCCTCCGACGGCCAGTCTACGGTCTCCGCCAGGCGCCTCGTGAGTGGCACGACACACTGAGGACTACGCTTGCGGCTCTTGGGTTTGCGCCTTCTACTGCTGACCTGTCGCTGTTTCTACGCACCGACACCTCACTGCCGCCGTTCTATGTCCTTGTGTACGTCGACGACTTGGTCTTTGCTACTGCTGACACTGTGGCACTTGCCCACGTGAAGTCGGAGTTGCAGAAGAGACACACGTGCACAGACCTGGGTGAACTGACAAGCTATCTTGGCTTGCGGATCACCCGGGACAGAGCACGCCGCACCATCACCTTGACTCAGTCACACATGGTGGAGCAGGTCCTTCAGCGCTTCCGCTTCACGTACTCCTCGCCTCAGCCCACTCCTCTGCCTACCGGTCACTCGCTCTCAGCTCTGCCTTCGGATGAGTCCGTAGAGCCGAGTGGCCCGTATCCAGAGCTTGTGGGTTTCCTCATGTACCTGATGACCTGCACTCGACCAGACCTTGCATACCCTCTCAGCATTCTTGCACGCTATGTTGCTCCCGGCCGTCACCGGAAGGAGCACATGGATGCAGCGAAGAGGGTGTTGCGCTACTTGTGCAGTACGTCGGGCATGGGGCTAGTGCTTGGAGGGCGAGTCCCAGTTGTTCTCACTGGGCACTCAGACGCTTCTTGGGCAGACGACCAGGCTACCCAGCAGTCGTCTCAGGGCTACTCCTTCAGTCTTGGCTCTGGTTCTGTTTCTTGGCGTTCTACTCGCTCTTCTTCTGTTCTCAGCTCCAGTTGTGAGGCTGAGATCTACGCCACAGCCATGGCGGCCCAGGAGCTACGCTGGCTCACCTACTTGCTGACCGACCTTGGAGAGCAGCCTCGTTCTCCTCCAGTGCTGTACGTCGACAACAAGGCAGCCATTGCCTTGTGTGAGGAGCACATACTGGAACACAGAACGAAGCACATCGCTCTGCGTTAGTTCCTTGCTCGAGAGCTACAGCAACGTGGTCAGCTTTGCCTGCGTTACGTGGCCTCTGAGGCCAACACTGCTGATGTTTTCACCAAGGCGCTTCAGCCTTGTGACAATCAACGCTTTTGCACTCTTCTAGGCCTTGTGCCTACTGGACCTCACTTTCTTACTTCTTGAGTCTGTTTGTACTGGGATTTCTATATATGTATACCTGCATGTTTACTCTTGCTAGGTTGTGATCATTGTACCTTTTGCTCTATTATAAAACTGCATGTGAACTGGTCTTGTGACCACTTGCTTGTGCTCGGAATTTGTGTGGTATCCTTGAAAACCACCCTAAGCTTGTTTTGCCTTGCTTTGCCTTGACTGGTCTTGTGACCCCTAGTTCTCGCCCACTTTGCCTATGGGGGTGTGTCAAACATTATATATGTTGTGTTAGTTTAGGCTACAGTGGGTTAGCCTATAGGGGGTACACAATTCTAGGGTTAGGTACTTGTACTGTTTTCACTGCTAGTTCATCCATTCCTGTTCAGTTATTCCAACAGTGCTGCTCCGCACCTGTCCCCATGCTGCCACTGCTGCTCCGCACCTGTCCCCCTGCTACCACTGCTGCTCCGCACCTGTCCCCCTGCTGCACCTGATGCTTCGCACGTGTCCTCATGCCGCCCCTGCTGCTCCGCACCTGTCCCCATGCTGCCACTGCTGCTCCGCATCTGTCCCCATGCTGCCCCTGCTGCTCCGCACCTGTCCCCATGCTGCCACTGCTGCTCCGCACCTGTCCCCATGCTGCCACTGCTGCTCCGCACCTATCCCCATGCTGCCACTGCTGCTCTGCACCTGTCCCCCTGCTGCCCCTGCTGCTCCGCACCTGTCCCCATGCTTCCCCTGCTGCTCCGCGCTTGTCCCGTTGCTGCCACTGCTGCTCCGCATGTCCCCATGCTGCGGCTACTAGTTGTTACTGCCACTGCTACGCCCCTCCGCACCAGTCTCTGTGTTGCTCCTGCAGGTTGCTATTGCGACTGCTACGCTACTCCGCACCTGTCTCCCTGCTGCTCTTGCAGGTTGCTATTTCCACTGCTACGACCCTCTACACCTGTCTCCGTGCTGCTCCTGCAGGTTGCTACTGCCACTGCTACGCCCTGCATCGATCCCCCTAGTGCTGCTGCAGATCTCTGTGATTACGGGTTTGGGGTGACAACCCGGACTGGTGCAGGTCGTGCAGCCTGTGCAAAGAGGCATAGGGGACGGAAGGGGACGGAAGGAAGGGGACGGATGAGATAGGAGGAAGGGGACGGATGAGATGGGAAGAAGGGGACGGATGAGATGGGAAGAAGGGGACGAATGAGATGGGAGGAAGGGGACGGATGAGATGGGAGGAAGGGGACGGATGAGATGGGAAGAAGGGGACGGATGAGATGGGAAGAAGGGGACGGATGAGATGGGAGGAAGGGGACGGATGAGATTGGAGGAATTCAGCAATGCTGGTGCCACAGCAAGATCTTGGTGCCACATAAGCAAAGTGTCGGTGCCATATCAGCAAGGTTTTGGTCCTAGGGATGACTTACCTGCACCCTGCTGACAAGGGTCTCCATGTCAGACGCGTCGATGTAGACACCATTGGGGAAGTTGAATGTGTTCGTGTTGCTGGCGTATGGGACACCATGGTCAATGACAGCGATCTCGACCTCCCGCTTCACACGGGTGCACATCTCCTCGTACTGGATCCGATTGTACTCCCACTTGCCGCTCAACTTCCGATCAGGCGCGTTGTTGAGGATTGGCCACTCAAACTGTAGGAATGTGGTGGGTATGAGGTGGGAATGTAGTGGAATAAATGAACAGAAAAAGGTTAACACAACACTAAATCGCTCATCGCACACGTGGCAACAAACATAACAACATGTCCATAAACTCACCGCATATAGGATCCAACCCAGCTGGCGGGTCTTAATCTTCTCGGTATTGACCCCACGACGCGCCAAAGCCAACTTGATGGACACCGAGAAGATGAGGCTGCCGAAAGGGATGAAGAGCTCCCGATGCCATGCCAGCCCCCTCTCCCCTGAAATGGGATTGCGTGGTCATAGGAAACAAAGGGATGAAAAGTGCTGACATTATGGTGACTAGAGGGCAACCGAAAGGGGCAATGTGGAACAAAGTAGTGCTTATAGAAATTATTGCTACACACATAACAACAACCGTGGGATCAAAAGCTTCATACAAACTCACCATCCTTGTAACGTGCAATGAGCTCCTCATCCGTGTAGAACTCGAGTGGTGCAAGCAGATCTGCTGGTAACCTCCCCAAGTAGCACCTGTTCGCCTGCCGACCCAACGCCGTGAGTACCACCTTTCTCATCCACCCGTTGATAGAAGTCCTAGTTGAGGACAGCTACTCGAAAAAGACCCCTCTGGTGCTGGCATCGTTGTGCTGAAAGAGCACACGCAACGAGGCCAGAACCTGTGGCGACACAAACTCGCTAAACCCATGATCTAAGGCCTCCTCCGCAGATGGGTAGAACTGAATCATTGAAGCTTCAATGTTGAAGCAAAGATGTGTTGCTACACGCCTAGACAATTCCTGTAGATTGGAGGGGGATAGGGGAGGTGGTAGATATGGAAGGCAAGCGGTAAGGGTTTGCAAGTGGCTATTCGGGTTGAGGGTAGAGGGCGGGGAAGCAAGTGGGGAAGCAAGTGGGGTTTCGGGTTGATGGTAGAGGGGGCAGACAGAGCATAAGTCATAGTTTAGGTAAAGCCTCACCTCCCTAAACCTGGATGGGAAGCAAGTGGGGTTTCGGGTTGAGGGGAGAGTGGGCAGTCAGGCAGAGGGGAGTTGGGGTTTAGATAAAGCCTCACCTCCCTAGGCCTGTATTTAGGGTAGCAGGTGGGGTTTCGGGTTGAGGGGAGAGTGGGCAGGCAAGCAAGAGGGGAGTTGGGGTTTAGGTAAAGCCTCACCTCCCTATGCCTGGATGGGGAAGCAAGTGGGGTTTGGGGTTGAGGGGAGAGTGGGCAGGCAAGCAGAGGGGAGTTGGGGTTTAGGTAAAGCATCACCTCCCTAAACCTGGATGGGAAGCAAGTGGAGTTTAGGGTTGAGGGGAGAGTGGGCAGGCAGGCATAGGGGAGTTGGGGTTTAGATAAAGCCTCACCTCCCTAGGCCTGGATTTAGGGTAGCAGGTGGGGTTTCGGGTTGAGGGGAGAGTGGGCAGGCAAGCAAGAGGGGAGTTGGGGTTTAGGTAAAGCCTCACCTCCCTATGCCTGGATGGGGAAGCAAGTGGGGTTTGGGGTTGAGGGGAGAGTGGGCAGGCAAGCAGAGGGGAGTTGGGGTTTAGGTAAAGCATCACCTCCCTAAACCTGGATGGGAAGCAAGTGGGGTTTAGGTTGAGGGGAGAGTGGGCAGGCAGGCAGAGGGGACTTGGGGTTAAGGTAAAGCCTCACCTCCCTATACCTGGATGGGGAAGCAAATGGGGATTCGGGTTGAGGGGAGAGTGGGCAGGCAGGCAGAGGGGAGTTGGGGTTTAGGTAAAGCCTCACCTCCCTAGGCCTGGATGGGGAAGCAAGCGGGGTTTACTGTTGTGGTTAGGAGGTGCCTGGATGGCACAGAATGTGTCAGTGTTAAGGAAAAGCTTCAACTCTCTAGTTCCAAGCAGGGGAAGCAAATGGGGCTTATGATTGAGGGGAGAGGGGGCAGACAGGTCGAGCAACAATCTAGGAAACGCACACACAGTGTATCACAGGGAACGCACCTTGAAGTCGACTACCGCTTTGTAGACGATTTCGCGATGGTTTGACAGGGGACTATTGCTGGAGGGAAGGCCTTCCGACGAGCTGGTGCTTGGGCCAGAATGAGGAGGAGTTGCTGCAAGCGCTCCGATTGGGACGGATGGACCAGCACCCCGAAGTATGGCCGACAGCATCTCGGCGAGCCTTGCCATCACGCGTCGCTCGAATTGGTCAAGCTCCACGTTTGATACACCACCATGCTCCTGGCGGCGATCACAGGATGCCGCCACAAATGGGGTTTTCTTGACGGGGACGAGCTCATAGCGCTTGGTGGCTTTAGTGATCACCTTCACCGGTGGTGCAGCTCCAGAGTACTGATTGGTAGCTGCTGATTGTATACGGGATGGAAGAGATGGAGGAAAGGTGACTGAGGGACAGGTCAGAGGTGACGGCAGGGATGGGATGAAGGGGACGGCAGGGATGGGATGAAGGGGACGGCAGGGATGGGATGAAGGTGACGGCAGGGATGGGATGAAGGTGACGGCAGGGATGGGATGAAGGGGACGGCACGGATGGGATGAAGGGGACGGCAGGGATGGGATGAAGGTGACGGCAGGGATGGGATGAAGGTGACGGCAGGGATGGGATGAAGGGGACGGCAGGGATGGGATGAAGGTGACGGCAGGGATGGGATGAAGGGGACGGCAGGGATGTAATGAAGGTGACGGCAAGGATGGGATGACGGTGACGGCATGGATCGGAGGAAAGCGACGGCAGGAAAGGGAGGAAAGCGACATGACATCAGCAAGCATGCCACAAATAAAAAGTGGTACCATCCCGCAGTGCTATACAATGCGGCAAAAGTCTGACCTTTGGTTTTTGTGTTGGCCTGCTTAGTGGTCGGTTTAGCCCCAGCGCCTGCCTTGGCCTTTACGCCGCTGGTCCCAGCGCCTGCCTTGGCCTTTACCCCGCTGGTCCCAGCGCCTGCCTTGGCCTTTACCCCGCTTGCCCCAGCGCCTGCCTTGGCCTTTACCCCGCTTGCCCCAGCGCCTGCCTTGGCCTTTCCCCCGCTGGTCCCAGCGCCTGCTGCCGTAGGAGTTGACTTCGGTTTGGCCGACACTTCACCGGTGTTCTGCTTTTTCTGCGCACCGCCAACCACCAAGGCGAACTCCCGTTTCGACTTCCCACCGAGAATACTCTCGGTCGCCAGAACTTTCTCCTTTCCCTTAGCCGATGTGACTGCATCTTTCCCTCGTGGTGGCTTAGCAGGAACCTTAGAGGGTTCTGAACGCGGAAGAGGTTTCACACCCTTTCTAGCGAGCTTCGAGCTGACAACGGGTTCCTTGATCTCATCGAGTGCCTTCAGCTTCCCAAGCAGCATAGCACGTTCCTCAGCCACAGCCTCATCCTCCATGTCTTTGTCATCACCGTCACCCTGCTCTTCCAGCATCTCGTCAAAGCTAGCCTTCCTCGTGATCTGATGCTTGTGCGCATCCGCACCTTCCTCCACTTCCGCCGAATCGCCTTTCTCACTTCCCTTCTCAGCCTCGTCCTCATCCCCCTGCCCTTCCTCATACTCCTCGTCCTCCTCTTCCTCCGCCTCGTCATCCTCCTCTTCCTCCGCCTCGTCACCCTCCTCTTCCTCCGCCTCGTCACCCTCCTCTTCCTCCGCCTCGTCACCCTCCTCTTCCTCCGCCTCGTCATCCTCCTCTTCCTCCGCCTTCTCTTCAGCATCGTCCTCCGCCAAGTCTTCCTCTTCCTCTTCCGGCTCGCCGCCGGCCTCGTCTACTGCCTCGTCCACCTCGTTTTCGCCCACGTCACCCGACTTGTCGTTGGCCTCAGCTTCGTCCTCGTGTTTCTGGTTGTCCACATCGTCGCCATCAAGGTTGTTCCCGGCAGACTTAACAGGATCAGCACCTTCTTCGGTAGCATCCGCCCCTTCCTCAAACCACACTTTCGCCTTTCGAGGGCGGCTGGACTTGCGAACCTCGCCACCAGGAGGGCCGTCACCGCTAGATGACCGGGGTTTGGGTGCAGCCTCCGTGCACTTCTTCTTCGTACCATTCTGCACCTTGCCTGGACTTTGCACGGGGCCACCCGTGGCTGTGTTTTTCTTGGTCACCGCCTTCGAGACCTGCAGTTTAGTCGACATGTTGCGCAACAGCCCCGGGAAAGATGATAGGACGTTAGAAATCCGGAACTGCAGGGACTAATTGTAGCGGAAGAGGGGATCGGTACCTACTACGTTTATAATGGACCCTTTTATAACAGGATATGTATCGCTTAAACGACCAAGGAACTCGATGAAGAGACGTACCTTTGAGCGATACGGTCGCGGTCACGATACGGGTCGCCACGTAGCACGATTCCGGAACGGCTAGTTTCATGATGGGTCGGCGCGGCACGCTTATAACGATGGGGTGGTGGATGGCGTGAGCGGCGCCGCGAGTTGCCATGAATGGAGGCGGTGGTGAGTGAGATTATGGAGCTCTCACGGTACTGTCACGGCTGAGGGTAAGACAGTGAGATGCACATCGATACGTGCAACAATGCGCGGCCGTCTAATGCGGACCGACGGTAAGAAAATGAGAGCGCGACGTCGCGTATATTAGGCACTGAAAAGCCGCGCTGTGTTGCTGACTGAGGGGAGCATGAGTTAGTCTCTGAAAAAAGAGGGGGGAAAGGTGACCGGACCTAAGCCAACGGGAAGGAGTTGGTGTTCCTGCGTCGTGACTGCTATCACGAGCGGTAGCTTGAGACCACAGCATCGTGTGAGACGATGCTCGCTCAGACTCTGCCAGGCGTTACCGTGGGCAGTGCAACGAGGTTCACGCGCTCACGTTGGTTTTGTACAAGACGACAAGTGCGACCTTGCCCACCTAACAGCATTGCGGTTTACCGCCACAGCGTGGCAATTCCACACTATTTAGTTTTGTTGTTTTCGAATTCTGTAGAATATTTTGCCACCGAATTTTTATTTGTTACGGTAGGAGCGTTTGGGAGTCCGTCTCGCCAAGATTGTAGTATTAGGTGAGTAACAACGGTTGAGTGTGAGGCTCCTAATTACGCCCTGCTTTAGTTAAGTCGAGTGTTTCACGCTGTTTCGAGTGATGCCTTGTTTCGGCTGTTTCGAGTACAGGCATGTGGTGAAGCAGGTTCACCGTACTGTACGGTTGCACCAGGCTTGGCACATTTATTCGCGCAGCCCGTAGCACCTCCAAAATGTCGAGCTTCGACGGATGTCATCGGTTGGATGAACAAATGGCTGCTTCCCGACCCCACCGAAACTTAGCGCTATACGTGCAGCATCCGCGTTTTTCACTGGGTAAAATTTTACAGACAACATTAGCTGGAAACGACTGCCAACTGGCCACGTGGGAAGTTTCGCCAACTTAACAAAACTCCAAATGCGTTGCAGTTGTCCTTGTCTTGTTTCTGTCGAAAGCTCCCGTGGCGTTTTCGCCACAACATATCGCTGCCCATCACGCGATGATGACTTCGCATGCCCCAAGTACAGTATTCCTAAGAGTGGCTGAGGCTGCCGCAGTAGTCGCGGTGCTCAGTTAAAATATCGCTGGAACACAACATCTACGCTAGCTACAGGTTTCAGAATAGTGAAACATATCGGAAACTACCCCATTGAAATTTCGGAACTTACAAGTGGTCATAAGGCAGTCTTGTCATTTTAAATAACAACAAACAAAGCCAGTTGGCAACGGGAGACTGTGAAAACTTTGAGGTAAAACCAAAGCACCGATTAAAAACGAGACTGCTCTGACAGGCAGCATAGTTCATACAGATGTTCTGGCTTAGAGGCCCTTCCTAAAAGAGTCCCATTTCCTCAACGAGTAGATTTTTCACATAAGTCCTAGGCGTATCCCCTCCTCTACAGTCCCATTTTTGGCGGGAAATCTTGCGTCTTGACTGAATCATTGCACGAATCAGTTCCGCAGCCAATCAGAGGACGCAAATCAAACCTGTCAGAACATTTAGAGAAAATAAAACGAAAGGAAGTTTTGATTCACTATTTACTTTTTGCAGTTGTGTTTGTCTGTTTATCTTGACCGCTCTTGTGTCGAAATCCTGTTGCGCAGTTCCCCGCGAGCTCCAACGATGCCATCTCATTAATCTCGCTTACAGTGTAAAACAAAAATGTTGTCTTTCATTTCGGCCTTAAAAATATTTTATTTTGTATTTTTCTGTCTGTTTGTCCTGCGACACTGATCAACGCGGCGAACCGTGCGACGAGAAGTTGAAGACAGCGTAGTCTGAATGTACGTATGTGACAGAAAAACACGAATAGTAGCGAAGGAAAATCTCTCTTCATGCAATTATTCTTATATGGGACTAAAAGTTCCCTTTTGCCCGGGGTTTGTGAGTTTTCCACAAAGGCCCGCAGCGCGCGAGCTGGTTGACGAGGAGGTCGACCACTGCACGGGCGCCGACTTCAGGGTGGCGTCGACTTCGGGGAGGCTGACTTGGAAGTCGACCTGCTGAGGACGTCAACATCGTGACGTCAACGTGGGGAAGCCGACTTCGGTGGTCGGCTGACGGACTGCTGGTCGACCTCGGGTGGTCGACTGGACCTGGTGGTCGACGAAGGAGGGGCCGACGTCGACCTCGACTCAGGACGCCGAGCAGTTGGGCGTCGAGTAGCGGGGGCGTCAACTTCGTGACGCTAACTTCGGGTGGCCGACGTGGGTGGTCGGACGACACCTGTGCTGGTCGACGAGGAGCAGGTCGACCAAGAGTGCTGGTCGACGTGGAGCTGGTCGACCAGAAAGAACGTCGACCTGGAGGAGGTCGACCGATGGTGTGGTCGACCTGGTGAGGTCGACATGGAGGTGGTCGTTGACTTGGGAGGTCGACGGGCACGTACGGGAGCTGCTGGTCGACGTGGTTGCCCGGTCGACCAGGTTACCTGGGTGACGAAGTGCTGCGGAGGAGTGCGACGGTCGCCCAGGCGAAGTTGGCGAGCCCGACCTCGGTGGTGGTATCCCGAGGTCGTCGTGGCGGATCAGAAAGCAGTCGTCAGCGCGAGGTTGACGTGGTGTGTGCGCTGTGCAGGTGACGAGACTCTGCACGCCAATCATCTATGCGCACCTCCGAAGCGGGTGCACTGCTGTCCTGCGTAAGCAATGCTGGCACGCCGTCAACCTACGACGCTGGCACGCCGTCGACCTTGCCTTGCTGGAGCGTGGTCAACCAAGTCGTGCTGGAACGCGGTCGACCAAGCTGCGCTGGCAGTTGGCCGACCTGAATGCTTGCTCTGATGTAGTCTTGCTATGCCAACTTTATTGTACCATTGTTCAAAACTTTTCCTAGTGGAACTCTTGCCAACTTTCCCCGTGAACTAGCAAGTAGTATGCGCACAAGGAAAACGACTAAGGAACAGAGAACGCAGAGATCACACGAGCACACGTGCCTAGCCTGCAGTCTAGCTCTCGTTGTAGCAGTTATCTCCGCACTGTGAGGGGAGGCGCTGAGATGGTGAGTGCTGTGAGGGGAGGTGCTGAGATGGTGAGTGCTGTGAGGGGAGGTGCTGAGATGGTGAGTGCTGTGAGAGGAAGTGCTGAGATGGTGAGTGCTGTGAGGGGAGGTGCTGAGATGGTGAGTGCTGTGAGGGGAGGTGCTGAGATGGTGAGTGCTGTGATGTGAGGGGAGGGTGAGTGCTGAGATGGGAGGGTGAGTGCTGAGATGGTGAGTGCGGTGATGGGAGGGTGAGTGCTGAGATGGTGAGTGCGGTGATGGGAGGGTGAGTGTTGTGAGGGGAGGGTGAGTGCGGTGATGGGAGGGTGAGTGCTGAGATGGTGAGTGCGGTGATGGGAGGGTGAGTGCTGAGATGGTGAGTGCGGTGATGGGAGGGTGAATGCTGAGATGGTGAGTGCGGTGAGTAGGAGTGCCTGGCAGGACAGCTCGGGCTGGGTGGCATGGAAAGTTTGCCGGCAGGTCCTTGGTGGGTAGCAGGGGAAGAGTTAGCTCAAGGCAGGGGAGGGGGCAGTGAAAGAGGAAGTGCAGGGCAGGGAGGGGAGCAAAGGAAGGGGGAGAATGGTGTGCTTGTTGCTGCTGGTTGTTGCGATTCTGATATTTTTTTCCAATCTCTGCCTTTCTGACACGTGTCAGGCCATCGAGGATGGAGCTCGGGTGATAGTGAAGGAGTCCTACTTCTTCCCCGTGAAACCCGATGACGTCACTCCCATTGCCAACTGGTTTGTCCGTGAGTGGGCGAAGCTCCACAGCGAGGCACACCATGCCTTTGCGGGTGCATTGCTTCGACGCCAGCTGAGGCCAACGAAAGTTCGTGTAAGTGGTGACAATGGTGACATCAAGCAGATACCATATGTAACTGAATGTTACTTTGTACTGATTTGTGTCTCTTACTGGTTGCAGGCTCACACAACACTTGCCATCCCTGCTGCAGAAGATGCGAGTTTCGCCCGAGTAGCACATTTCGTGAAAGCAACCCCGCTGTCTCACTCTAGGCCGTGGTTCTCTGATGTTGCCATCGTGGGAACAACAGCGACAGGTGCAGAGACAGAGTGGTACGGAAGGCTCTTGTTGCTGTTCCATACAAAAGAGAGAGGGTGCACGAAGGAGTGGGCATATGTGAAGTACTGGTCAAGCGCAGGCGAGGATGCAAAAACAGTGTGCAAACGTCTTAGGTGGGCAACTGGGGTATCGCGCTACTTAGTGATTGACACTGAAAGCATACTGCGCCAGTTGCACATTATCAAGTCTTAGCACAGCGACAATGCATTCTATCTTAACAAGTACCTGCTAAATTAGATATAAATCCTACGCGCATCTGTACTTTTTCATAGGCAACCAAACCTGTTTTGTATTAAGAGGCAAGATTACATGCAATAACAACTTATGACTTTACAGGTTATATATGTACATGCACATGTGATTGTTTAACCAGCAGCCTTTCAATATTATAAGACATAACTTTGACTTGATGTAAAATTTGTTTGAAAGAAACACTGTAGGCTCATCTTGGTCCATAATTACTCCTATGCGAGACCATTTTTGCAGGGCCCAAACGCACCCTATCGCCACGTCTGGTCGTGCGCCAAGCAAAGCTGTGGCTCGGTGACCCAGAAATATTTGCGGGAAACCAACGCACCCCATTCTCGAAACTGCTTTTTCAACCTAGTCAAAAGAGCACTGTACACCTGACATTGACCGAAATTGGGCCAATTTCGCTTCGCCGCGCCGAGGCGCACAATGTCTCGCGAGTCGGTTCGGATGCGCGAAAGCAGATCGAAATTTGAGAATGACACATTTACGCTGGTGGTTGGGCGAAAAAAGTTGGACAACCCACGCAACCCAACTTCCGAAACCAATTCGACCCGTTTCCAAGCGATTCAAAAACGAGGGGTTTTTGTGATGGACGACGTGCATTGACTTGGCAGGTCGATGAACGACCAAGACTATACGCGGCCGTGCACCGACCCTATGACTTCGAGATGGCTGACGGCGTGTGACTATGACGGCGCTAATGAAGTCACTATTGGGGTGGTGCTAGCTTAGGGAGTCGTGGGCATGCTTCTTGGGTGGTCTTGGTAGTTGTGGGTGATTCTCTGTGAGTCTCGCCATTTCTAGTTGTGCTGGGAGAATTGGCGAGCCCGGCATCGACTTCCCTGCTGAGTTGGGTTGGGAAGTTGACAAGGCGCGTTCGCTCACCCACACACCACTTTTGTAAGGAATTTTCCGGATTCCTTACTGGGTCACACTGTACGCATACAACTCCGACTTTCGGAAAACCAGGCTCGGCCCGCCGACCTCGCCTTCCGAGCCACCACCGCGTCGCTTTCGGGTTTTCCAACCCCGAACCTACACCCAACCATCCCGCGACCCCGTGACCTCGGCCTAGCTAACCTTGCTATATTATGCCTAGGCCTCGTTGTTCATTCAGACGTTGTAATCACTTCCGCACTATTGAGTTCTGCGCACTCTTTCCTTTCACAACTTATAACAACTTTCGTGGGGTTCGGTTACTCCGCCGCGCCTCGCCAAATTTGTGAAACCTCCCTGTAGCCTATATCTATCTTGTGTGTTTGCTTTTGTATTCATATTTGATATTGCAATTCTACTTGGGCCAAATGTTACTTTAATTCTCACTAAGTCCTTAGAGGCAAACGCTACCGAAACTCTACCAAGTTGCTAGCGCAACATTGTTCCCATAGCAGAAACTCTCTCGCTATAGCTATGCTCTCTAATATATTCCTTCATCATTCATCTCTCAATCGCCTCATTCGTCTCATTCGTCTCTCATTCGTCTCTCTTTTGTCGGCAACGCACTCTCCCACTCGTTGAGCTGGCCAAATTGCCACCGTTGAATGGGCATGTTGCCATGATTGCGGGAAGCCCGTCGTCCAACCTCCTTTCTCGGACCCCTCATGTCCCCTCCCTCTTCCCTCATTTCTCCCCCTTCTCCCTCACATTTCCCCCACTACTCCTCATTTTCCCCCCTTCTCCCTCTCATTTCCCCCGCTACTCCTCATTTTCCCCCCTTCTCCCTCTCATTTCCCCCACTACTCCACATTTCCCCTTTCTCTCCATCTCATTTTCCCCCCTTCCTCCTCTCATTTCCCCCCTGCTCCCTCTCTATTTCCCCCACTGCTCCTCCACACTTCCCCCTATTTCTCCCTCTCATTTCCCCCCTTTATCCATCTCATCCCCACCCCGTCTCCCCCTCATTGGCCCCCCTTCTTCCTCTCATCCCCTCCCTTGCTCTATTTCCCCCCCTGCTCCCCCTCGTTTCCGCCAGCTCTCCCCCACTTCTCCCCCCCAGTTCTGCCGGCTTCTCGCGTCACCAGCAGAACGCGTCTCCAGCTGCTCGCATGTCCCTAAACCCATCACACGCACTGCGAACCGCGAGCCTCGCATGCCATTTCTCCAGTTCCCCACTTCGCCCTATTGCTTCCCCTGGTGCTCACCCCCGTGCTCAAGGTGAGTCAGCCATAAACTTTCCCCCCTTGCTCCCCCTCATTCATATGGTTGGGTCCATCTCATTCCCCCTTTCCCTTCCCTTCCCTTCTCTGCCCCTTCCAACCTTCACCCGAAGTATGCGACATGGCCTTATCAGGCCCCCTCCATGCCCTCATTCCCCCCTCTCCTTCCCCTTATTTCCCCTGCTGCTTCTCCTCGTTGCCCCCTCTCCTTCCCATCATTTTCCCATCTGCTTCCCCTCGTTCCCCCTTGTCCTTCCCCTCATTTCCCCCTCTGCTCCCCCTCGTTCCCCCCTCTCCTTCCCCTCATTTCCCCCTCTGCTCCCCCTCATTCCCCACTCTCCTTCCCCATATTTCCCCATCTGGTTCCCCTTGTTCCCCCCTCTCCTTCCCCTTATTTCCCCCTCTGCTTCCCCTCGTAGCCCCCTCTCTTCCCTTTCATTTCCCCCTCTGCTTCCCATCGTTCCCCCCTCTCCTTCCCCCTTTTTCCCCCTTTGCCTCCCCTCATTCTCCTCTCTCCTTCCCTATATTTCCCCTTCTGCTTCCCCTTGTTTCCCCCTCTCCCTCCCCTCCTTTCCCCCCATGCTTCTCCTCCCTGTCCCCCCTGCATCCCCTCCTTTCTCCACCTGCTTCCCCCCCTTTCTCCACCTGCTTCCCCTCCTTTCCGCTCCTGCTTGCCCTCCTTTCCCCCCCTGCTTCCCCCCTTTTCCTCCATGGCATCCCCTGCTTTCACCCCTTGCTTCCCCCCTTTCCCCCCCTACAACCCCTCCTTTCCTTCCCTTGCTTGTCCTCCTCTCCCCTCCCGCTTCCCTTACATTACCCCCCTGCTTCACCTCCTTTCCGCCCCTGCTTCACCCCCTTTCCCTCTCTGCTTCTCCCCTTTTCCCCCATGGCTTCCCTTCCTTTCCCCCCCTGCCTCCCCTCCTTTCCCCCCATGCTCCTCCTCCCTTCCCCCCCTGCTTCCCCTCCTTTCCCCACCTGCTTACCCTATTTTGCACCCTCCTTTCGCTGTATGTCCCCCTCTGCTTGCCTCAATGCCTCTCCACCCCCTTGCAACCCAACCAGCTTCTTCGAGCTTGCTTATTCTCTGTCCTCCCTTTTTACCTTGCTTATGCTCCATCCTCCCCTTGCTTACCCTCCCTCTTCCCCTCTACTCGCTCTTTCCACTTTCCACCTCTAGTACCGTGTTTACTGCCTTCCCTTTCCATTCTGAGGGCGCTCGAGTGCAGCATGGAACAAGAGGAGACAAGTTTCCTTCAGTTTAGGCTTGCATATGCTTCCGCAATCCCCCTTCCGCATAGGGTAAAGCACATTGGAACCAGGGTTTGGAAAGGGAAGTGCGGGCAACCAAGATCAGGATACACTGTGCTACTCGGGTCCGACGAGGTAAACGCTCCAGGATCTTAGGCCCGATAGATTGGAGTTGGGTCGACGACATCATGAGGGACTAGGATTGTATGGCGTGTGACGTTGCAGAGGAGGGGGGACCAAGGATACTGCCGTCACTGCTCCATCCACAACGGAACCACCCACCAAGCGACCGTGTACCACCAATTAAGGAACTACGGCATATCGACGTACCATGTTTTGATGAGTTCGTGCAATTGTGGACCCTCAGTGCCCTGCCCACATGTCGTTTAATTGTATTGGTCCGGGGTGAAAGTTACAGACCAATGGGTATTCTCCGATTCCATTCCATTTTCCATGCAGGAAACGTCTCAAACGTTCGATAGGGCCATCCCTTATGGCAGCCATGAATTTGAGGTGAGCGCAGGGGGGAGGTGAGGGGCGGTGGAAGTTGCGGGGAAGGGGAAGGGGGTATGGGAGGGGGAAGTTAAGGGAGGGGGTAGATAAGGATACTTTGAAACTCAGAGCTAGACGCACCTCTGCACATTCTCCTCACCATATTGTCCTCACCGTATCACCATTCGCCTCTGCACAAAATCAGAGCTGAACGCCCCCCACAGAGTTGAACCGGAAAGTTGGTGAGGGGCAGGGGGGAGGCAGAGATGGTTAGGGGGAGAGGGTGAGAGTCAGGGGGAAGGCAGAGATGGATTGGGGGAGTGGGTGAGGGGCAGGAGGAATGCAAATATGGATAGGGGGAGTGGGTGAGGGGCAGGGGGGAGGCAGAGACAGCAATCCAGAGGAGGTAAGGGAGAGCAATTGAAGAGCAAAGAAGGGACAGAGGGACAGGAACGTAGACAAAGAGCAGGAAGGAGAGGGCAGGAGACCGTAAAGGTACGGGATGGGATGGCTGGGGTGGAAAGGTACGGGTGCTGAGAAAGAAGGGGGGAGTACTCACATCTAAACGACCAGAACCGGGGGGTGGGTGAACGAGCCCCATCACTTTTCCCTCACCACCGCTCCTGCATTCTTTTCTCTGCCCTGAACGCGCCCCTACATATCTCCCTCCGCACCTCTTCCTCCCCTTTTCCATTTTCTGCTGCCCCCTCTTGTTCCCACCCCTCATATGCAGAGCTGAACGTGCCTCTACACACACGCAATCACCTGCCTCCCCCACCCGAAGGTGCCGTGGCGCCAGGGTCGCAGTAGGCTCTCTCTGCCCCTTCCTTGCCTGGTAGCCTCACTCCAGCCCCCACCGTCTGCCCTCCTGACCAAGCCTCTGCTCTGGCCTACACGGACCTGAATGTTGTGCCAGGAATTGGTTTGGAATTAGGCTCGGGTGCAGGCTTGGATGCACGCTCCGGTGGAGGCGTGGGAGGGAATGATGGCGAGGATGGTGAGAGAAGCGGGCGGGTGGACAATGAGAAAGGAGTGAACTGGGAGACGAGAGAGGAGGACAAGGGAGCAGACGCCAAGAGGGCGGAGGAGGAAAGGAGAGTGACAGAGGGGCAAAAAGTTGTGCGGAGGCTGCAAGGGAGGAGGTGTGCATAAGGACTTTTGGGAGACGATTGATAATGAGGTGAGTGAGTGTGGAAGCTGCTGCTGTCTGCTCGTGGTTTCTGCATCTGCTCATTACTTGGGTCTGCATCCCATGTGTGCGTCTGCCCATCGCCTTCATCGCTCACAACATCCTCTCCGACATCAAACTGCGCTTCTCTATTCATAGAAAACCCTCCCACCCCCCTCTTTGTCCCTGCTTGCCCATCAGATCAACTCTCTCTTTCTTCCCCGCCTCTGCCCACCTCTCAACTGCCCCTCCCCACTAGAGGCCCCTCCGCCTCTGCACGTCCCCCCACCCTCTCAGCTCCTTCTACCATGCCTCTTCCTCTCACACCTCCTCCTCTCACGCCTCCTTCCAACGCCCTTCCTTCGTTTCTTCATCCCTCTACGCCACTCGGCCCTAAACCCTATTGCCACCCCGCTACAATTGCTGCATATCCCCTCTCTCGCTGCACCCCCCGTGAACCTCTTGCACTCTGCACACACTTCCGCCCCTACAGACCCTCACACACTCACACCCACCACCCACTCCGGCACACACTGATGTGCACATGCACACACGCTCTGGCCATCACGGTTCACCTAGCACTCTCACTCACTCCCAAAAACCAAACATCAAACAGCAGACAAAGGAGGGGCAGCAGGAGAAGGAGGGGCAGCACAGTCAATCATATTTCTGTGCACCATTTGGATAAGCAAGCACTGCACTGTCAGCCATTGAGCGCTTGTGGTGGTGCTGCTGGTAATACCGCCCGTGGTGCTGGTGGGCGTGGTGGGAATGGTGATGGTGGATCGTCTGGTGGGGCCGGGAGATGGCGGTGCAGGTTGCCTCAGCTGTAGCAGTCAGCATCAGCCGTAGTCATCACTGCATCTACACGTGTTCACGTGCAATGCTACTAAGCACGTCAAGCACTAAACCCGCGAACGCGGTGCGGCTGCTTTTTTAATAGTAGTGACAGGAAATGGAGCAACTCGCGCCCCCATGGCAAGAAGCGAAGAGTTGGAACAAGAAATGCTAGCCAAGTACCAGACCTGACTACACAGATAGGGCTATTTCCTTGATCTTATTATCATTTTGGCCAACAAATGAGTGAAGTGAATAACTCATATGTCCATTGCGGCAAGTCGTCACTGATAAACCTTTACTCTCTAGCAAACAGTCAGTAAATCGCAGACTCCTGCGTCTCCTGCTTGACTATTGTCCTATGTCTACCATCGAATGACCTCATGCCAAAATCAATCTCTTCAGGGATGCAGGTTGAACCAGTCCACATCACGTTGACTGCAGTGTCTGTAACCCTCGCCCGTTGGCTCAGGGTAAAGCGATCCTATCACGACGTGGATTAGCCATGGCAAAGTCACATGTGCAAACAAATGATCACCTAACAAGGCGGAGTACTTCATGTAGCAACGGAAACGATGGTTCTTAGCGGTCATAGGTTGACCTTCAGAATCCTCATCCGTGTTTTTTCCCAAGCACGGGCGGACAAAGGGGTGAGTGAGCTGGTGGGGAAGGGAGAGGAATAAGAGGGGACGGGGGAAGTGCAGAGAGGGTAAGAGGAGCAGGGGATGAAAACTGAGCAGGGAGGAAAAACAGGAATAGAGGGGGAAAAGAGGAGCAGTGGGTGGAAAGGAGCGGAGTTGGGAAAGTTGAGAAGATGGAGAAGGAGGAGCAGAGGGGGGAAATAGGAGAAGCAGGCAGTGAAATGGTGGGAAGCAGGGGCGGAGATGAGGGAGGAGGAGGAGTGGCGGGAGGACGAGAAGGCATGGTGGGAGGAGGAGGAGGCATGGTGGGAGGAGGAGAAGGCATGGTGGGAGGAGGAGAAGGCATGGTGGGAGGAGGAGAAGGCATGGCGGGAGGATGGGAAGGCAAGGCGAGAGGAGGAGAAGGCCTGGCGAGAGGAGAAGGTGTGGTGAGAGGAGGAGAGGGGGTGGCGGGAGGAGGAGAAGGCATGGTGGGAGGAGAAGGCGTGGTGGGAGGAGGAGAAGGCATGGTGGGAGGAGGAGAAGGCATAATGGGAGGAGGAGAAGGCATGGTGGGAGGAGGAGAAGGCATGGTGGGAGGAGGAGAAGGCATGGTGGGAGGAGGAGAGGCGTGGCAGGAGGAGGAGAAGGCATGGTGGGAAGATGGGAAGGCATGGTGGGAGGAGGAGAAGGCATGGTGGGAGGAGGAGAGGCGTGGCAGGAGGAGGAGAAGGCATGGTGAGAGGATGGGAAGGCATGGTGGGAGGAGGAGAAGGCCTGGTGAGAGGAGGAGAAGGCGTGGTGAGAGGAGGAGAGGGGGTGGCGGGAGTAGAAGGAATGGCGGGAGGAGGAGAAGGCATGGTGGGAGGAGGGGACGGCATGGCGGGAGGAGGAGAAGGCATGGTGGGAGGAGGGGAAGACATGGCAGGAGGCAGGGAAGGCATGGCGGGAGGAGGAGAAGGGACAGGGTGGTACGGAGAGGGAAGGGAAGGGTTGGCGAATGAGGGCAAGCACGGGAGAGTTGAGGGCAAGCAGGGGGAGAAATGCGCTCGTGCAAGGGGGGAAATGAGGCGTACAAGGGAGAAAATGATGGTGTGCAAGGTGGAAAAACGAGGGCAAGCAGGGAGGGAAAACGAGGGCGTACAGGTGGGGAAGTGAGGGCGTTCAAGGGGGGGTTTTGAGGGCGTGGGCGGGGGATGCGGAAGCACAGCCGTTGCAAGAGAGTGAGAGAGGGCCGAGCCCCATATTCGAGTGCGGCTCGCGTGACGCGGAGAGGCAGCGAAGGGAGGCAAGGTGCTGCCGACGATGCATGCTTATTTCCCCATGCGCGGGAAGGCGAGAGGAGGACACGCATAGAGGCGAGAGGAGGCCGTGCAAGGAGGCGAGAGTCGCACGAGCGGGGAGGCGAGAGGAGAGCGCGGGGCGGCAAGAGTCGCGCGCGCGGAAAGACGAGAGGAGAACGCGAACCGGGAGGCGAGAGGAGCACGCGCGGCAAGGTGAGAGGAGGCCGCACGGGGAGGCGAGAGTCGAGCACATGGGGAGGCGTGAGGAGGCCGCGCGGGGAAAGCGAGAGGAGAGCGCGGGGATACGAGAGGAGCACGCGCGGGGAGGCGAGTGGAGAATGCGTACCGTGAGGTGAAAGGAGCAGGAAAGGGTAAGTCGAGAGGTTACGGAAAGGGGATTTCGGGCGGCATGAAGGTTCCAATTGGACAGTGGGAAGGGGAACTCGGGCGGCGAGAAGGGGAGATGGGGTGGCGGGAAGCGGAGGTCGGGCGACGAGCGGTCGATGGTGAGAGACGAGCGAGGCCTTGCTTCCCCCTTCTCACCGAATATTAAGCTAGTGGATGCAGGGGCGCGTACACACACTCTCGCATCTGTGCGACGACTCGGAGAGGCCGCAACAGCTTCGCAACGAGTACGGCCTTGTTCCGTCGCGAAGCGAGACCGGGCGGCCTGGAGATTTGAGAATGCTATGTCTGTTTGAGCGTACGTGGAGAGGGCTATCGCTTAGGAGCCAAAAATCTGGTACGTGGCGAGGCCTACTTACAATGTATGAACGTTTTTCATAGGCAGGTGTGGTGCAAAACCTCCGTCCCGTCAATCTGTCTCCTTTTGCATATCCGTAGGAGTTGAACATGAGCGAGCAACACTTGTTGGGGGGTTGGGACGAGGTTGTGGATTGTTATTTGGTAACTCGCACTAGGATGTTTACACGGTTGACTTTCGCCAAACAGCTCTCAAAAAAACAAAACTCGCGATTTGTGTCCCCAAGAAAAAGTTGCAACAAAATTCGACGTTAACGTCGAATTGTAGAAATCAGATTCCTATCGTTTGCAGAAGAGGATTGTATGGAAATTACAAAATTGTTCAGGTGTCTATAGTGGGTTGTATTTCACGATGATGACCTGTTCTGCTTGTGACTCAAATGTGTCAGCAGGTGATTGTTTCACGCGATTAACCAGATGTTGTCACGTGACACTACCTTCCAAACTGAAGGTTCTGCTTGTTTTCTTTTTTGCTGTACAGTCGATGCTCAGCCTATCACAAAACATTTGCTCCTTCCAATTTTACTCGCGAACGTTTTGCCCGTGAGTGACTAAATTGACCATTGTGCTGATTTCGGGGTACAGTCACCAAGTTGAGGAAGAAAAACATCTACAGTCAATAAAAAACAACGGTTGCCCGTCATCTGAAAAGTTTACCTGGTTACGAAATGAAAGCCCTTGACTCGATTCACAATGCAATTTCATATTACAGTCACATTTTTTACCGTGGCGACAAGGGCAAATCTGGCGAAATGCCTGAAACACGTTTCACGCACATGCTGCTCGCCTACCTGGTGTTCTTGAAATGTGCACCGACTGTATGAAAATTCCCCAAGCTTTGATTTTTGTTTCGATTCAATTCACTTGATCGTGCTGTTGTTCTGAAGTACTGTGTAGCCTTTGGTGCCTCGCTCTGCCCCGGCGAAGTTTTTTTTTTTTTTTTTTTTTTTTTTTTTGTCACCACCCACTGAACACCCCTCTTCCTCCCCTTCTTCGTTGTTCCATTCTCAGAGTCAACTCTGAACTGAGGGCGCCTTCCTGAGATGGGGCCCCATCGATTTGCAGCGCCATTGGTCCAGCGTGGCAGAATAAGATATGGTCACACCTACCACACGTGCCATGCGACGGGAGACGATTAGGGCGAAAAACAAGGGAGAATTGATGCCACCACTCACATGCGTCTGCATCGAACGTTCATGCGACAGTTTCCAACGGCCACATGCTCTGGGGAGACGGTCGAAACCACACTGGGAGGGAATTGATAAACCTTTTAGGGTTCTCACTGGAATTGCATTGTGCTATTGGTATGCACGCAGGATGATGTTCAGTTTTTTTGGTTCCGTGACAGTCTAGCTCGACTGTCGTTCTGACGTCCGGGGGCAGGAAAAGTTGACTTGAGGGAGGATCGCACAACCCTCAGCTCCCAACTCACGCGACGTCCATATTCGCCCCCCTTGCTGCCATGCCATGGACACGTGCTCTGGGCACTATTGTTGGGGGAACTTCGAATGGGGCCCCATCTCAGGAAGGCGATCTGAGTGCTCCTACTCCAGAGCCTCTTGAATGAGAGGCTCATCTTGCGTTTTCCTCCCAATCCGCAGTCGCCTCTCCCTCCAATCCCGCCATCGCCTCTCCCTCCTTCCCAGCCGCCGTCGCCGCTTCTTCCCATCCCGCCATCGCCTCTCCCTCCTCCCCGCTGTCGCCTCGCCCTCCCTCCCCGCCGTTGCCTCTCCCTCCTCCCCCGCCGTCGCCTCTCCCTCCTCCCCGCCGTCGCCTCTCCCTCCTCCCCGCCGTCGCCTCTCCCTCCTCCCCGCCGTCGCCTCTCCCTCCTCCCCGCCGTCGCCTCTCCCTCCTCCCCACCGTCGTCGCTTCTTCCCATCCCGCCGTCGCCTCTCCTCCTCCCCGCCGTCACCTCTCCCTCCTCCCCGCCGTCTCCTCTCCTCCTCTCCGTCGACGCCTCTCCCTCCTCCCCGCCGTTGCCTCTCCTCCTCCCCGCCATCGCCTCTCCTCCTCCCCGCCGTCGCCTCTCCCTCCTCCCCGCCGTCGCCTCTCCCTCCTCCCTGCCGTCGCCTCTCCCTCCTCCCCGCCGTCGCCTCTCCCTCCTCCCCGCCGTCGCCTCTCCCTCCTCCCCGTCGTCGCCTCTCCCTCCTCCCCGCCGTCTCGCAAGAGCGGGTTGGTGCGCCAGCGCGGGTTGGTGCACCAACGCGTGTTGTTTTCTGAGACAACGTAATTATCAGGTGTGTTCCCGGTCCTTTCATCCCCCCTCCCCCCGCTGAAATTTCCTTCATTCTCTGCTCTCTTCGTAATCTTTGTGTGTCCATTGGTCTCTTCTTGCATTGCACTTTCGTTTCAAGAAGGGTTGAGACGGAGCGCGAGGGAGAGAGTGTGCACGGGAGCGAACGCGCAGGAGAGAGCGCAGGAGAGAGTGCGTGAGAGAGAGCGTGAGAGAGCGCGTGAGAATGCACGTGAGAATGCGCGTGGGAGACTGCGTGAGAGAGCGCGTGAGAGTGTACGTGAGAGAGCGCGTGAGAGTGCCCGTGAGAGAGCTTGTGACAGTGCGCGTGAGAGAGCGCGTAAGACTGCGCGCGTGAGAGTGCGCGTGAGAGAGCGCGTAAGAGTGTGCGCGTGACAGTGCGCGTGAGAGAGCGCGTAAGAGTGCGCGCATGACAGTGCGCGTGAGAGAGCGCGTAAGAGTGCGCGCATGAGGGTCCGCGTGAGAGAGCGCGTAAGAGTGCGCGCGTGAGAGTGCGCGTGAGAGGCTAGGTGAGAGGCCGCGTGAGGGGGCATGTGAGAGGGCATGTGAGAGGGCATGTGAGAGAGCGCGTGAGAGAGCGCTTGAAAGTGCGCGTGAGAGAGCGTGTGAGAGCGCGTGAGAGAGCTTGTGACAGTGCGCGTGAGAGAGTGCGTAAGAGTGCGCGCGTGAGAGTGTGCGTGAGAGTGCGCGAAAGAGTGCGCGCGTGAGAGTGCGCGCGAGAGAGTCGGTTAGGGAGCGCGTGAGAGTGCGCGTGAGAGAGCGCGTGAGAGTGCCCGTGAGAGTGCGCGTGAGAGCGCGTGAGAGTGTCCGTGAGAGAGCGTGTGAGAGCGCGTGAAAGAGCGCGTGAAGGTGCGCGTGAGAGAGCATGTAAGAGTGCGCGCGTGAGAGTGCGTGTGAGAGTGCGCGTGACAGAGCGCGTGAGAGAGCGCGTGAGGGAGTGTGTGAGAGCGCGCGAGGGAGCGCGTGAAAGTGCGCGTGAGACAGCTTGTGACAGTGCGCGTGAGAGAGTGCGTAAGAGTGCGTGCGTGAGAGTGCGCGTGAGAGAGTCGATTAGGGAGCGCGTGAGAGTGCGCATGAGAGTGCGCGTGAGAGTGCACGTGAGAGTGCGCGTGAGAGTGCGCGTGAGAGTGCGCGTGAGAGTGCACTGGCGCCTTTTCTGCTATGCATTGACGCCTTGTGCAATGCATGTGAGGTGTACTATTTGTTTTTTGCTTTCTTGTGCAGGGAGGGTGAATTTTATTTTCTGCTTGGTAATCTTATCAGGGAGGGGGGGATGGAGGGTAATGGGGGACAAGTTAGCGATAGTTAATTAATGGCTGAACTTCTTTGGCTATGATTGCATGCTTAGTAGCTGTATGTTTCTGCGTCTTTTGTGTACGTATGTGTGAGCCTGTATGCGTGTGAGTGTGTGTACATGTATGTAGTGTTGTTTGTGTCTGTTTCAGGGTGAGTTCTGCTAAGTGCCTTGTGTATGCAATTGGGGTTGTGATCGTTGGTGGGGCAGCTTTGCTTGCCTCTTCCATACCAGATCAATCTCAGTTGCATTAACGATGCATTTTATCAGTAGCTTCGAAGCATTCATAACTGCTGTCGTTTGTGTCTGTTTTGGGGGTGTGGGGTGGTGCAACGTGGGTTGTGATCGTCAGTGGGGCAGCATTAATCGCCTCTTCCGTACAACTTTGCATGTTTTTTTGTGTTTTTTTAGAAGTTTGCCTATGCGTGTGTTTCCGTACCGTTATGTCCAATTCTTCCATTCGCCGTACTTTTCGACGATTATGGATGATTTGACACATTTGTTTCCAGTTTTCGGGTAACTTCTGTGAACAGTAAATTTCCCCGTTTTTTGGAGGAAAATCATTGTTCACATCAGTCAACCGGAAAGTGAAAAAGGATGTATAAGGTTGCTACGCAACCCAATTAACAAACAGTTCCAGAAAGATCCTTGCGCGACAGTTTATCAGGTAGCCAGAATTTCGAGAATTCTCAAGCTTTTCGAGCATGCTGGGGGGCCCCAGGGCACGCGTGCCGGGACGAGGCGATGCACCGGGCTCCCGTGTGCGCGGAAGCTTCAAAACCCGGTGCACCGCGATGCATCAGGGCGTGCCAAGGCGTTCTGCACCACGTCTTTAGAATACCTAAGCAGGTACCTGCTCCACAAACACGTTTTTTGGTCTAAAGACAGTTCTGATGGCTCTCATAGCAAATCCAGGTGAACATCTCGAGATTGTCACAATCATTGATGTTTTCTGTGCGCATTCGTTCTTTGACGTTGCGAAGCTGACCTGTTCAATAAGAAGTGAGCATTGGGGATGGGAGGTCTAATAAGGGCGTATTCCTAGCTTCTCGTCATTCCGGATTTGTGTCATCCGAAATTTGTGGGAGCCAATCGGGAAACCCGCGTTTCGAGCTTTGAATTTTCCTATTCGATCCCACAATTTCGGATGACACGACACGAAGCTAGGAATACGCCCTAAATGAGCTTGTATGGCGTGTGTGGGAACCCTACCCCATTCATTCCTCGGTTCGAAGAGTCCAATGGACTCTTGACAGAGGAAGCCGTCAATCAACCGTCAAGCTAACCAGCGTGGCGTGCCTTGAATGGAGAATGGCATCAGCATTTTTTGTTCAGGGAGACTTCGAGGTGGCATGCACGCGTTCCACTTGTTCTACCCGAAAAAAAAAAAATACTTTCAACACCCCGACCAACCTTTTACGTGTATGGCCGTGTGTAGTTGACGGCATCGAGGAAACGGAGCACCAGGTTCTCCTCTCCTGGAATCAGGTGAAATCTGTACCCCCTCCGCCACCCCCGCTCACGCTCTAGAAGACACAATCCCTGCCCATTGGGCTGACCAGCCCCATACTTTGCGCGGCTCGAACACACCAGTCCATCATCAAAGGTTCATACGCCCGGACTACAGTAAAACACGGGCGAATGCGGGATCGCTTCCGCGTGCTTAACCCGCACCATTCCCTCGACTCTTCCCCGCCAGCCATCAATCTCCCCCATAAGACCAGAATCCAATAGGGTGATTACCTTTGAGTAAGTAACATATTAGTAGCTCTGTCTGAATTTGGTACCAAGCCACCTTGATTTCATCGGGAGTGTGTGCGTGCTTTCGGGATACACAAAATATCGTAAGTGTGCACATGAAAAGGAACTTCACGCCCAAAAGCCTTTCCAGCTACTTTGTGAGAAGTGTCCCACGAGTCGCTAACTTCAGCCACTGTTGTATAGGGGGAACTGTACCCTTTCTCGAATAATCCGCTCTTCAGGGGTTTCCATAATTCCTTCCAATACTGCACCGAGTTATTTCAAATTTCCAATCGAGTCTCCCAGACCAGGCGCTTGTGAGCGCCCCCTTGTCCTCCCCTCGACAGCTGCCTGTGTTTCGAGTTCAGCCCGTGATGCCACCTGCACTCCTCTCCAACCCCCACTTCCTTGCATTGGCTCATTCGCCTTCGCCAACTTCACACACCATTATTGATGGGTTTGCTTCGCTGACAACATTGAGGCACCCACATTGCCTGATTTACTTTTTTTCCAGAATACCATCCAGTATTTTCCAGTTCCTTCTCTTATCTTTCCTTCTTCTTTGTCTCTCTCAGCAACCATGGCTTTTAGCTTTCGTAGCTGTTTCGCGAATTGTTTCGTCTTCATCCTCACCGTCCTTCACATCATCGTCCTCGCCGGATCCATCGCAGCCGTCGCTCTCATCTTCGTCATCCGACCCAATCCCACCTTCCCAGCCGGTTGGGGCTTCATACTCGTCGGAGCCATCACCTTTCTCGCCGGAGTCTTCGGCGTATTTTTCTCAGGCCGATTCGGCTGCTGCGGGATTCACCTCCTCCTGCACGCGCTCTCCATCGCCGGAACATGCGCCACGGGCATAATCGCCGTGGTGAAGCCTGACACACTCGTCGGCGACATGCAAGCAACCATCGATCTGGATAAGGCCCACGATCTCGTGATCGTCGAAGGCGGGATCATGCTCGCGCTTTTCATGCTCCAGCTCGTGTTGATTATCCTCACGTGCTGCGCGCAGTCCTGCGGATGCTTGGATGTGGGATACGAGGAGCTTGACTCTGCATCGGCAGCAAAAAAAGCGGCAGCTGAGTCGATTAAGGAGGAGCAGCGCCGCGCGCGGATTGAGTCGACGAGCGCGCACCAGCTGGCGCAGAAGATGAAAGAGAAATACGGGATGGTGGCCGGAGGCAGCAAGAAATCGGATTACGATATTGAGAAATAATAACCTGAGCTGCCGCAAACTCCGGCGCGGGCCGACGATTTGCAGCTGAGTCGTTGGTGTTAGGGAGCTGAGGAGCGGGTCTCTAGCTGGGTTGCCAGAACGAAGTACCCGTTGGGATTTCCGGCTCTTCAATTCCCTTCCGCGCGTCGCGATGGTTCGCTTTCTGCATCATTCCTCTCTGTAAAGTCCCCTCTGCTTCGTCCGCCGTACTTTCCGCTTTCTCCTTTCCGCGACAAGCTTAGCCCTGCACGCTTCGCCCTGCACGCCTTTTCCTGCCCGTGTCGCCCTGCTCCGTCCCCTCTGCAAGCCGTTTGCCGCTGACGCCATCATCCCACCCGCACATCGGCTGCTGGCCGGTCAGCAATAAATGCTGGTGGACGTTTGGCCTGCGGAGAATGCGTAGCCTGTGATGGTGACCATGTGGTTGTGTGTGTGCGCTCTGATGACTGCTGTTGTCATAGATTCGCATCCCACAGTCCAGTGACGCAAGGCAAGGCAGTGCTGTCGGTGCCTTCAGTGCTTTATCTCCCTGTGTTCCCACTCACTTGGTAGACTGCGTAAACTGGCTTGCCTCTTACACGGGTACCATGCTTCATTACCGTAGTTTAGGGCTTCAGCTCCATTCTTTTAGCGCCACAAATCTGTCGATTTTAAATGTGCAGTGCACTCAAATACTGTAGGTTTCATCCTGTGTGGGAGAAAGAGATTGTTGATGGTACCAGTGCACAAAAGTCTGGTGGGGGTAAATGTCTGAGAGGGCACAACAGGTTTCACTTAACACACCACAGTAGCTGGGAAACATCTGTGTCACCAAATTTGTGCACCTACAGGAACATACCATGGCCGTCCAGGTGTATCATTTAAGCAACCCTGAGGCAACTCCAGAGAATCATGCATGCAGTATCAGCTAGAATGTACACCTCATGACATCTAGTGCGCTGGCTGCTATTGTCATCATCTGGGGCGCAGTATCTTTCCTCGCCGTGCTAGGTTGCCTGCCTCATACACCATGTAGTTAGTAAGCGCGCGAGTTGCACTGGAGTGGCAGAGAGGAGGAGTGGGTGGAGGGGACGGTGGGGAAAGGGGGGAATGAAGGGAGAAATTTGTTCGTGGAAAAGTGCCAGGATTAGCAACAAGAAGGGAGGAGTCTCGGGAGAGGATAGGAGAGTGCAAGAATGAGAGGCAGAGAAAGGAAGACCGTTGGGAAGAGGGAGTATAAGTAGCCACCCCTCGACGGACAAAGGCGTAATAGAGCATACTGGCAGAGTAAGTGAGGGTGTCTGCACTGGCCAACAGGAATCGGTGAATACGAGAAGCAAGCAACGACAGGGTCTATCACTAAAATGCCTAACGCACGCACCATCGGAGCACAAAACAAGAGCAACACAGCACACAAGAACACTACATGGAGCAACGTTGAGCAGCAGCACAGCACTAAGAAGCACCGAGCCTACCTCTCCTTGAGCTCTGCAATCTTGGCGGGGTCTGTCTCGTGCATGTGCTTCCTGAACTCACTGCGAATGTGCTCCCGCACAGCTGGCCCGCGGCCCCTCTGATGCAGCCAGGCAGACGTGAGGCACGCAGGCAGGCGGACGGACGGGGAAGCAGGCAGGCAGGCAGGCAGAGAGGGAGGGCGGAAGTCAGAAAAAGGTGCAGCTGAGTGGTTTCGCTTGGTGGCTGCGGGCTGTACCATGTGCTGTGCAACCAGGGGTTTAGTGATGCAAAGACAAGCAGGGACCTGATTTCATAGAGAGCACTTGTGTGAACATGCGACCAAGCGGATTGGAAGAGGCGGGGAGGGGGAAGGTGGGGGTGGGGGGAAAGAGAAGCAAAAGCAAGAATAGAATGGAGGATAAGGTGGGGCGGAAGGAGCAGAGGATGGGGGAGAGGGAGAGGTGGAAGGAGGAGAGGTGGAAGGGGGAGAAAGTGGGGACGAAGGAAGAGTCGCACCGAGTGAGTGAGGTAATCTGCCATGCGAAGACAGTCACGGTATAGCTGCTCAGGACACCATCACAGCCGTCCATACGCCATCATAGCCGTTCACACATCACCACAGCCGTCCATACACCATCACAGTCGTCCACACATCAACACCATCCCAGCCGTCCATAGCCCTCTTCAAAGCCACCCTTGCAGACCTCACACGGATAACCACCACCACCCACACGCACGGGAGGAGAGCGTGGGGAAGCACACGGGTGGAGATCGGAACATTGATTGGGCAAAGCGCAGCGACGCGGAGCAAAGGGAGTGCAGGACGGGAGCGGGAGATGCGGGACTGATAGAGTGACAGAGTACGCGAGAGCGAGAGGGAGAGCGAGCAGAAAGAGAGTGAGCTAGATCGATCGGTTGCGGAACAGAGAGCTAGGGTGACGGAGAAGAGCACGAGTGCGACGGATGAGAGTGACGGGAGCAAGAACGGGTGAGAGTAGCGAAAGTGATGCAGGGACAGTAGCGAGCGGCAGCACTCACGCGGACGACGTTCTCCGCGACGTGAGCGGGGACCAATCGCGGTAGGCCCGCCATGGCTGCAACGGGAGCAGGGATCTACGGTCCGACACGGTCTGATATGGTCTGTGTGGTATTGGTTGTGTCGAATTATTGCTGGGTTGGCGCGTGGTGGACGTCTTGTAGTTCGTTTGCTGCTGACGCGCTGTAAGTCTCAGAATCTGCATTGACGAACACTTTCGTTATGCACCCGAGAAACTTTCCTTTACCATTGATGTACATTGTGGCAAAACTTGCATCACACATATCTATGCACAGCCAGAGCTAATGCTTCTGGGAAGCATCACACAACACAACAAAGGCAACAAAAAACTAAGGCACAGCATCAAAACAACGGTTGCATGGAATCAACTAAATGTAGCGATGCAAGGGGGCCACCAAATTTAGCTTCAGCCAAATAGGGAATACGGTATGTCAGCACAGGCCATCCCAGCACCCACACACGCACCAGTACCGTAATCAGGCTACGATAACCCCGAGGGGATGGACGAGATTGTTAAGGCTGGGTGCCCGCTAGCGCGGGACAGAGGAATAAGACTCCCACCAGTGCATCCACCCGACTGCTGCGACTGACACAAGGGAGAAACATCTTGTCGTAACACCCCAGGTGCAAACGGCAACACAGTCTCAGCAACAGCAAGCGGAAGCCCACGAGTCCCTCCAGGTACTCCCAAACCCAAGCCTGCGAGACCATACAGGCCGTTACCCGAGCCTGTGTAGTCATTTGTAACAGACGGAGAGTCAACCGATACAGTGGTGGTAACCGGGTTGGTGTCAGCAGTCTGAGTCTGCTGGTTAGACTGCACTGTAGACGCACTGCCAAGCCCTGGGCCATCTCGGTACACTTTGGAGCGCTGATTGTTGACGGAGCCCTGGTTGTTGATGCTGCCTGCGTTCTTCTCCTGCTGGTACATGGTGTTGCCTGACCCGGCGAGCACCTGCTTCTGGCTGCCACGGAAGGGATGGCCTCGGAGCAGTGTTTGTGACTGGAGCAGTGGTGCTAGCGGTTGGATCGACGGCTGCAAAGGGGAAGGAGGTGAGAGAGAGATAGAGAGTGGGAGGGAGGGAGGAAAGGGGGGGAGGGGAGAGAGGCGGGGAGAGTGTGTGTGCATGTGTGTGTGAGAGAGGGTGCAAGAGAGAAAGGTAGGAAGGAGAGTAGGAGAGAGCAAAGGGGGGGGGAGGGGGGAATGAGGGAGTGAGGGAATGAGGTTTATTTACGAGGTGTGCTACTGCACCCAGCATGCAAGGCGAATAAGGGTTTGACTAAGGCATTGAAACGTCAGAAATCACGAGCTTGAGAAGAAGCAACCTTTAAGGGCGCATTCCCGACCTCGTGTCATCCGGCGTTGGTGTCATCCGAAAACTTTGGAACTCAAGCGATTGGCCCAAAGTTCACAACAGGCCAATCATGTGCGTTCCAAATTTTTCGGATGACACCAACACCGGATGACACGAGGTCAGGAATGCGCCCTAAGTGTACTCATAAGGAAAAAACACCCCGGCAAATCATCACCAGCCCAGAACATCTCTCGCCTCATGCTAGCCCGCCTCACATCATCCCCGTCTCCCTCACCTCAACGGCCGTAATCGGATACAAGCCATCAGACAGCAAGCTCTTCCAAAGCGCTGCACTCCCCGCACTTCCCGCTGCTGTTGCTCCACACAGCGGCACTAGGAGGGAGAGCCCTAGACGCAGCAGGAGAGACGGAGTCATAGCAGCGTCTTACATGAGTGACCTGCCTGGGAGACTAGCGTCTATTTGCGTAGCTTAATTACTGAAAGGGGTTTCGGAACGGCGACTCGCTAATAACGAGGAGGCGGAGACGAAAGGCATCAGCCAGCCCAATCGGACAGCATTCCCTTGCTGGGACTGCGGCCAGATCGTCCCCATGCCGTTGTGATTGTCGAGACTCCTTGCGATGAACGTGAGATATTACAAAAACACAACGTAAGTCGCCCGTTCCGTAGCTTCACACCAGGATTTGTGCGTGTAATGAAGCTGTCACCCGAGATCACAGGGCGGCAGAGATTCGTCACATTCAAGACTGGTGAAGCACGCACAGATCCTGGTGAAGCGCATGGAGCAACAGAGCTGCAGTAGCTTTTGAACTGGAAGCAGACCTTTGCTCGCGTTCCATTCGAGGCAAGCTCCAGCAGGCCCCATCCCGCTTCGCTGCAGCGCTTAGAAGATCCGTTAGTAGAGTGCAGGAAACGTTTCTCAGTCCCATTGGAAATACAACCCCAGTCATACTAGAACAAAGCAACCACATGCAACTATTTCTGGTAATGTTCCATTTAAATTACGACAGAAACAGTTATGGATCTATTTAAATTTTAATGCGCTTGCTGAGACAGGATTCGGGTGTTAGTGTGGATCTTGCACAAATAGGTGCTGCTGTTGCAAGAGGTCGAGATAGTGGATTCTGCACTGAAGTTCTGTAGTTTGCATTGTACGAGCGTACCGGAGCACGAATAGTTTTATAGCAAGTACAGACACATGGTGAACACGGCATTTCCGGAGATGGCGGAGCACTACATGCATGCAGGCGAGCGCGCTTCGCGTGGTCAACATTGAAGAGAATGACAACATCGCAATTCTTTTCACACAATTCCCTCCCCCTCCCCCAAGAATGCATCCATTTCACGAGGGGCATAATTACGGTACCAGAACAGGTAATTCGTTTCGACTCCACTAGAGCGTTTTCATTTGGCTTACTCAGAAATCCTCGAATCCTTCTCAAATTCGTAATCATTCGCAAAGATGCAGACAACGAGCGAGAAAGAGCAGCATGAAGCAGTTCGTCAAGAGGTGGAAAAACTAGGAGGTGGCGCAGAGCAGGTGAGGAAGGTGTTAGTGTAGTCACACTGAGGCAAGCAGGTCAAATCTTCAGGCACTCCTTGCTTTGCATCCAGATCTTTGGTACGGTAATCTGAAACCGGTATTTTAGCCATTTTACTTCCAGCGGTATGTGAAATTGACCCTTTCCTTCAGTTATTCTGTTAGTACTGCTGCATCCTACTGTGAATCTCAGAAACACGAGGTTGCAGGCAAGCCGATCACCCCACGAGATGCTGCTGAAGCCAAGTCGGAAGCAATTAAAGCTGGCGAGCCAACAGGCAAGGGAAGCCTGCCAGCACGAATGGAGGTAAATTGCAATTTTTTATTATTGGGTGCCTTAGGTAACAGTAGATACGCGATCATCAGTAAACCAGCGCGCTCACTTAGGTCAGTCCCTAATTTTCGTCAAGTCAATGCTTTCATCACATTCACATGTCTCAGGCACTCGGTGCTCCTGTGTTGCTTGCCCTCACGCTTACCATGCATTTTTTCACTCCTTTCCGCCCTGTACAGGCAGCAGCAGCGTTCAATGTAAGGGAGCACGTGGTGCCGCCTGTGGGGACCAAGGAGGCGGGCACAGAGCGGGATACTCGTGGAGGCAAGGGTGAGGGCCAGGTCGACCACCGCCACATAGAACATGGCGGGAAAAAATATGCCTAGGAGTATGGATCCTTGCCGTTGGATTGTCCACACCACGTGATTGCTTGCATCTGCCAGTGATGTTGGTTGAGTGGTCGACTGACTGGTGGTGGGGGGTAGATGTGTGGTGCTGAAGTGAATATGCTGATGTGTGGTTATGAATCTCTGAAACAGCAGCATTGTAAATTAGAAGTTGCCGCATTGTTTTGTAAGAAATAGCATATCATAATATAAACATAATACAGACAGTCACACACTGCCAAAAAGGCATGAACATCGATCTGCTTGGCTTTTGCCAATCAGTGGAGGTTAGTTCTCGGTCCGAGTTATTCACTCCTAACTCGCCTCGCTCCTCCCAGCTATTAGCTCTCCACCAATGCTCCTCCCAGTACCTTTCGCCCTTCTGGTACAAAATGCATCACCTCGTTGAGCAATGCCACCAAACCTCCCTCCCTGCCTCGCGCATCAAACTTGACCTGCTGCTGTGCCCTCGCCTCCTGTAGAGCCTCTCTCGATGTGTTCTCAATATATGCACGCAGGCATGTGGCTTAAGAGAACTGTGTAACCACCACACGGACAGGGGGATGTGCCAAGCACCAGCAGGAAGAAGTCTCACGACGGCGGCTTCAAAGGAGTGATAATGATCTGCATATACATCCCAAAAGGAAGAGGTGCATTGTTGAAGCATAAGCCAAAACAAGAAGTAAAATAGAAAAGGCTTCTGTGGAATATATCTCAACAGCATGAAGAGCTCACATGCATGTATTTCAGAATCTTAAGACTGGCTTCGTAAGACATACACTACATACAACCATTCTCCATACGCATGTCGTCAATCCCGACTCCCAACCTTCCCCCAAACCTATTTTCACACATCGTTACATGCCCACCTTCTGGTTAGCAGCCTTGCAGTGGCTGTAGAGGCCGGATACGAAGTAGGTGGTGCTGGTGATGGGGTTGGTAAAGCATCCCTGCCCGCCTCCGTCCGTGCCGTTACAGTACGATACGTAATTGGTGTAGACGCAGTTGTTATAGTCCCTCAGTGTTGGTACAATGTACACCTCATCCTTGTAAGGCGGATACTTGAACACTGGAGGGGAAAATCAGGGGAACAACGAGGTTCAAACTTGTCAGAACTGGATGCATGTCACAAATAAATTCCAGAGAAAAAAACACTTCCAAAAGTATTACCACCCAATCCTTCCACACTAACATCTCAACGTAAACCTTATTCGTCACTCACCCAGCGTGTCGCCCACGTAAACCTTATTCGCGTTCGCCCACTTCACCAGCTGCGCCTCGGGATTCCACTGCCACGCGAACTGTTCCGACATGTACCCCACCACGAGCGTGCGCGGAGAATACGGGCGCGCGGAAGCCTTCACCACGAGCTTCTGCCCCGCCTTGCAGTGGCCGTACAGCCCCGACGCGTACATGCCCGGCACGGCGGTCACCCGGATGGCGCACCCGTTTGCGCCCGCGCCCCACGAGTCGTAGCAAATGATTTTGGCCGCGCGGAAGTTGCACGATTTGAAGTCTGCCAAAGTTGAAAACTGAACCACCTCTTCCTGGAACGCTGGGTATTTGAAAACTGCGGACACGAGGGAAGTGGAGGGCGAAAGAAGGCGCAAAGGCAAAAAAAAAAAAAAAGCACGGAGTTGGGAAAATGATTGGGGATTTTTTTTGGCAAAGTTACTTCAGGCCGTGTTGTGCAACTCGCATCCAGCACGTACCCACGAAGTCTCCCGCGTAGAGCTTATTGGCCGCAATCCACGCGTTGTAGTTCACGGCCGGGTTCCACGGGTAGTTGTACCCGCCGGCAGCTGCCCCCACGATCACCCGCCGCCCGCCTGCTGCGGCGGTGCTCACGAGGGATGGCGCTTCGGGCGGCCGCCATAGCCGCCCGGGTAGGTCTAGACTGCTGTTGGCCTTTTTACTGCTTCTGCTGCTGCTGTTGTTGTTGCTGCTGCTGCTGACATTCACGCTGCGAATGCTGCTTATGCTGCTGCGACGACGATGCATGGACGGCGAGCTTGTGCTGTCGTTAACACTCTCGCTGTCCGTGCTGCTACTCCCCTCGCCCCCGTGCGAATCAGCGCTGACGTCTTCCGAACCACTTTCTCGTGGTCGTATCACGACCTGTGAAAGGCAAGAGCAACCGACAGTTTGACATTAGTTCTATTCAGAGTACGGCAATGCAAAAGTCAACGCTTAAACGCACCGGCCCCGTTGTCCGTCCCATAATCACAACAACTCGCGCAGTCAGCAATCAGTCAGAGACGACAAGCTCACCCTTTGTCCCGCGCGGCAGTGATCAACCTTTGACGTTAAGTAAAGCGTACGTGACTCGACGAGCACGCGACATCCCCTCACGTGTCCACCTCGGTCGCTGCTCCTGCCGCCCTCGCCGTCCAGTGAGTCGCACAGCAACCGCGCATCGTCCAGGCGACAGTCGTCTAAGTCGCCCTGCGACGGAACTTCGTACACAACTTCTTCGCCTGACTCGTATTGAAACACTGTAATGAGAGGAGCGCGACAGAAACAGTGGAAAGGACGCAATAAGTGGGATGAAATTTTAATTGCATCAGCAACTGCTGAACGCATTGGAAAAAAATGATAAGAAATGATATGCATGGGGCAAAGAGTTAAAGGGACAAAGTAGAGAATGCAATAATGGCAGCAGTACAGTGAGAAAGTTGCGCATGGTCGGACTCTTTCATAGACAATCGCCGAACATTTGAAGTCGAGAACTTGTCAAAGCTACGAAGGTCGTATTTCTCGTGTTTGTTTCTGTATTATTGATGTTTTATATCATATTGGGTGCAAGCGACAACTACACACGCGACGAACGCAGGAGAAAGAGAAGCACCTACCCAGGGTATCGCCTGCAATGACAGGGAAGGTAGCCGCCCATTGAGTATAGTTCACGACAGGATTCCACGGGTAGTTGAAGCCGTCTATATGCCGTTGACCCACGATGACGTGGCGCCCGAGAGAGGGAGTTAGGAAGGAGAAGACAGTCAGAGAGAGGAGGAGCAGCGTTAGGTAGTGGTGGAGGGAGAGAAGAATGGACGATTGAGGGCAGGGGAGTGAAGGAGAAGCGCGGCGGCGGCGCAGTCGAGGCGGTTTTTGCGGGAGCATGGCGGCGGCGACAGATGGAAGTCGGGACGCCTTTGACTGCTGCGGCGGCGGTCGCTGGGTCATGCTGGTTTTCGATGAAAGGCCGTTAAGGGAGGGATCGGATGGGCGGTCTAGGTTCTCTGGTGACAAGCCTACGCTAGCGGACGTTAATCTCTCGTTAGGTTCGTCCAAGTGATCGCATCTGCATCTTTCATTATCGCGTACGACGGTTGGTGGGGTTTCGCTCCTAGGTAGAGGTCGTTCCGCCATCTCTGTAACGATCGGGCAATGCTCTACTCGTGCTAACAGTACCTCCTCGTCAAGTGCGCGCCATCTCGACACTTGATTTTCACGATTTCGCATTTCCGGTGAAGCAGCACTGGCATTGCAAGACTAGGCATACAGAGGTGATGGCTGGCAGTTCCGCAGCACAGAATGACAAGGGACGAAACCTGCGATCGACGGAAGAGGGTGCAAGAAATGGTGGAGTGGGTGGCTGATTGGGGTGCACTGGCAGAAAGTGCTGTGGCTGTGAGCATTGCCGACGGTGCTTGCTCACTTGCTCTCGTAGGGATGGCCCGCTCGGCATTCCACGACGAAGGCGAACATCCACCTGCGAACCGCGCATCAACCACGTACGAGCCGCGTCTTTCAATGTGGAATGCTTCCGACAAGAGGGCGCGGCGGGGAATCGTACAAGACGAGCGACGTGGCAAAAATGCTTGCCTCGTGGTAGAGTTACCATCCAGGCGAGCTTCGCAGCACTCCAAACAGTGGAATGTTGGATTCAAGGGCTGGGGCAGTTGCGTGAGACTGCAGGGCCGCATGGGGTGGTTGACGTGGGCAAATGTCGGCGCGCTGTCAGTTGCAAGGCACACGAACCCTGCAAGATGGAAGACTTCAAGACACAGACTTTTTATAAATAAATTTGTGGAGTACATACTAATCGTGATTTGTACAATATAAACATCTTATGTCCACTCCTGAAACAACATACGGTAGCTTGATTCTTCGTTAAAGAGCACGTAAAATGAATGAATAGATCTCAGATATTTCAGATATTTAAAGTTTAAATATTTAACTTCCTGCAAGAAATAAATAGATTAGTCTCATCCGTTCATTTTTGGGTTGCGAAGCAACCTATTACAATCGTTATGTACAATTTTTTTTTTCAATCCTCAATACCTTTAAAAAATAGAGGGAAAAAATATAGTGAACGGTACTAGCTAAATGACTGACTGCTATGTATCTGCCGCGTCAATTTACCACGTGCTGAACCACATTCCTTCTTATTTCCTAGTTTACTTTGACTGAACCTATATTTCATGAGTTGCCAAAATGATGTACTGTGAATGCATAACTGTTTATTCCTTGATGCATATGTCTGCTGTTGTTATAAGTAGATGAAGTAAATGCAAATGCGTAAGTATAATGCATATACGGTACTACCGGTACCGTAATGAAATAAATGCACAGCATGATGGAAGTGCGTAACAGTTAATTGACGCAGACCCTATGCTACCGCATCCCCTGCCTAGCATGGGGGGGAGCTCAATAGCATAATTTCTGAATCATCCAACTGTTACATGAAACAACACAATCTGTGTGATATAAAAAACAGGTCAATTCCATCAAATCCAGTTCGAATGGACACACTCACTGAGTGCGCAAAGAACCTTCTCGGAAATGATAGTTTGATCCCAATTTTTAAACCCCACAGACATGTGTTATTAATGCAATGGAAACATGAATGAAAACGCATACGCACACAACACAACGCATACACATGATCATACACATTCACACAGACATGCACGCACGAAGCCAACTGACAAAGCATATTAACCGCATATGAAATAGAAACCTAAATCACCAAGACATTATGTATCCTATACTGTAAGTCACAAGAAATATCAGTCTACTTCTCATATTGAGCTCGACTGCCTGAAAAGTAAGACAAAGCTGGGTTGAGGAAGGGAAGGCAAATGGGAAATAACAAGGCATAATGAAATTACAAGAAAAAGGAATAATGAAGAAACAAATGAAACAATACAAGGGCCAAGAAAAACGCCATGAGCATTGAAGGGTTAGAGCTGACAAATAACAAGGAGAAAATGTACTAAGGCATAAAACGAAAGTAAAGAACGAGAACAAAGGGAAAAACACATGACCAGACAGTAAACGAACGAAGAGAATATAACAAATACGTTGAGCGAGAACAACGGAGACCGAGAGCGAGAGCGAGAGCGAGAGAGAGAGAGAGAGAGAGAGAGAGAGAGAGAGAGAGAGAGAGAGAGAGAGAGAGAGAGAGAGAGAGAGAGAGAGAGAGAGAGAGAGAGGACGAGAGAGCGAGAACGAGAGAGTGGACGAACGAGAGAGAACGAACGAGAGATTTGACAAAAGAGAACGAGAGAACGACAGAGACGGAACGAGAGAGAGAGAGAGAGAGAGAGAGAGAGAGAGAGAGAGAGAGAGAGAGAGAGAGAGAGAGAGAGAGAGAGAGAGAACGAGAGAGAGAACGAGAGAGAGAACGAGAGAGAGGGAATAAGAGAGAGGGAGAACGAAACAGAGAGAGAGAGAGAGAGAGAGAGAGAGAGAGAGAGAGAGAGAGAGAGAGAGAGAGAGAGAAAGAAAGAGAGAGAGAGAGAACGAGAGAGAGAGAGAGAGAGAGAGAGAGAGAGAACGAGAGAGAAAGAAAACGAGAGAGAACGAGAAAGAGAACGAGAGAGAGAACGAGAGAGAGAGAGAAAACGATAGAGAGAGAACGGGAGAGAGAGAACGGGAGAGAGAGAACGGGAGAGAGAGAACGGGAGAGAGAGAACGAGCGAGAGAGAACGGGAGAGAGAATGGGAGAGAGAGAACGAGCGAGAGAGAACGGGAGAGAGAGAACGGGAGAGAGAGAACGGGAGAGAGAGAACGGGAGAGAGAGAACGAGCGAGAGAGAACGAAATGGACTGAACATGCAACCTATTACAATCTTTATGTACAACCTAAGACGAGGTTGAGAAAAAAATGAACTAAAACTTGCAAATATGAAGAAAAGGCAACCGACGAGAGGAAAAGTTTAAGGATGAAGAATAGAAGAAACAGATGCAAGCTTATGCAGGAAGGAGAACCTGAAATCTTTACAAAGGGCCGACAACCTAAGTTTAAACAACTAAGTCTCGCTAATACTCATCCATTTACACGGCTAGGATACGGAATGACTAAATGTTAGTCTATCTAATAGGCATCTAATTTAGTTGGAGTTAAAGTTGAGGGATCTTCTTACCTAAGTTGCAGTTAGAGTAGGTGGAGAACTTGGTAGAGCGTGACGAGCGAGGAGAAGCGGGAGAAAAGAAGGGCGACCAAACCCTAAGGTAGTCTCACATTCGTCGCAATTTCTGTATGTCTAAATAATTTAGCTATTCGAGGCAAACATCTGTGCTTTAGCAGTGGTACAAGGCTTGGAGTGGAATCGAAAGGTCCTAGGTTCGAATCCCATTCGCGCTGTACATTTGACCTTTTCCTGGTGAGAGGAAGTACCACTTAGTGTCATACTACAGCATTATGTACAGAATTAGAAGTTGTACAAATTTATATAATTACGCAAAACGCTTCGCAACCCTAAGACGAATTCGTCGCCTCTTGTTTTTTTTTTTTTTGGCAAGCGTAGAATGTAGTTTGAACTTGCTGCGATCATAAGTTGATCGTGGCCTAGGATCTACTCAGGAAGGTTCTCACGCAGAGAAGTGATGTTGGTGGGCCCTTGACCTCAATAGCAGAGTGAATGTAAAATGCTTTGAGAATATTTAAAACATGCAAATACAACAAATATAAATATGAGTACAGGGGAGATGAAACGACCTAGCTAGCCATGTACTCTAAGGGGTACATTCCCTTATTCAAATACATTCCCAACCGTGCGGCGCGAACGGTTACGAAACTGTTCCTGCCGAAACCATCCTGCCTGCAACTGCCTGGTGCTGTCTGCTCCGACGGTCCATATGCATCCCAACTGTCTGACGCTTCGAGTCGATTCCAACCGTCTGACGCTTCGCGTTCATTCGCGATACTGCGTGCTTCTCTTTGCTGCGGTGAGGAGTGCACAGCAATATTCAAGTATTACTATTCGTAACACCCCCCTTCACTCCTGGCCGTAGCTCGACTTGACCTGCTTTACCACGCCGCTGAGTTCGGAGCAGTGCTCATACTGCTGGTGTGGCAGTCGCTTCGTGAGGAAGTCTGCTACCATGTCACCGGTCGGGCAGTAGGTCAAGTTAACCTTGCCCTTGTCCACCTCATCCTTCACGAAGAAGTACCGCAGCGCAATGTGCTTGGTGCGGTTGACGAAACCAGGTTTGTTCACGATGCGAATCGCGCTCTGGTTGTCGCAGTGAAGGCGAAATGTGGGCGAAGCTGGAATTTTTGCCTCTTGCAGGAGTTCCTGCAAGTAGAGGCCTTCGCGAACTGCTGCGGTTGCTGCGATGAATTCCGCTTCAGCTGACGACAGGGCAACCAGAACCTGCTTCTGCGAGTTCCAGGAGATTGGTCCCGTTGGCTCGAGTCGGAACAGGAAGCCAGTCCTAGACCGTCGATTATCGGGGTCTGCTGCGTGATCGGCGTCCACATAGCCGATGAGGTTGAAGGATGGAGTTGGTGCAGTTGAGTAGCACAGCCCAATCTTGGGCGTTGAAACGAAGAACTGAAGGGCGCGCTGCAGATCCAGAAGATTCTCAGCCGTTGGTTTGCGTGAGTACTGCGCCAGCTGACTGGCGATGTACGAGAGGTCTAGCCTGCAGGTGACAGAGGCGAAGAGGAGGCATCCCAACTGCTGCTGGTAAGTCTGAATCCCAACAGGGGATAGGGGTTTGTTGTCGGGTTTGTGGTTTGGTCCGGGAGTTCGGTAGGGAGTTGAGAGAGGTGCAGGTGAAATGTTGAACCGCTTCCCTAACTCCTCTGCGTACTTAGCCGCTGAGAGATGAATGGCCTCAGGCGCGTAGGAGATGTTGAGGCCTAGAAACTGCTTCACCTCGTAGTTGCACCTGATGTTGACGCGCCCCGCCAAGGCCTTCTTGAATTGCTTGAGAAGCTCGTTGTTTGAG